AACAAGAGTAAAGGAAGTCAAGAATTCCAGCTAAGTTCTCCATTCCTTCCCCGTGGCCAAAGCCTACTACCATAAAGTTTTCAAGGCACAGAAACTGAAGAACAATATTCTTAAATAAATGGTCTTCTTGACAACCAGAACGAAATTGGAGGCAAGGTCTCCCAAGCATCTAGCAATCTGGCCTCTGTGAATGAAGAGTTCCTCCACAGGGCCAACTCTTTGGAAAAGATCGAATAAGGACCTTAAGTACAAACAAGCTAGAAAGAAAATAACTTTGCACTACACTGCCTGATAAGAAGAGAACCCAGGGATCTCCTTTACAGATTGTCTTATACCAAACGGAACTGAGAAATCCAATGTCACGTGAGAACTGTAAAAACTTCAAAAGACAATGCTTTATTTGAATTCAATGCAACTTAGTAATTTAAAATGTACTCGCAGAGCAATTATTAAAAGATGTCAACATGCTATATATACTTCAGGAATATAACTCAGTAAAATATACTTAACTTCAGAGGTTTACAAACTAGTACAAGGGATAATCTCTATTTTGGGGGTTCAGAATTGCTAACTTAATTAGTTGAACCTTCCTTTTCTGTACTAATTTTCAGTTTGCTTCATTTACCAGTTTCTGATAGGAATATATCGAAATTTCCCATTTTGACTGTGGATCACTCAATGCCTCTTTATAATTCCCTTAAGATATTTTGAGACTACGTTGCTAGATATTTACACAGTTGGAATTCTAGTCTCTTGGTGGGCTATTCCTTTTCATTATGTAGTTCACCAAAATATCCCCATTGACACGTTTTTGCCTTAAATTCTACTGTTTGATGCTGGCTAGTCCCTCCTGCAGCCTCCATCCCCGTTGGCCGGGTGCAGCCGAAGACTGGGCCACGAGAAAGGGTTGGGCAGCTGCTGCCTGACAGCTTTTGGATTGGGAAGAAAGCAAGGTTGTAAAGCAAAAGTTTTTAATTTTGATAAAGTCCAATTTATCTTCTTTCTATTATGGATCATGCTTTTAGTGTCATGTATAAGAACTCTTTATCCAGCCCCTGGTCCCAAAGATTTCCTCCTCTGTTTTCTAGTAAAAGTTTCATAGTTTTACATTTTACATGTAAGTCATAGTTCACTTTGAATTAATTTTATACAAGGTATGAGGTTTAGGGTATAGTTGACTTTTAATTTTTTCTTTTTGGCTTATAAATGTCCAATTTCCCCAGCCCCATTTGTTAAAAAAGCTATATCCTTCTTTCATTTAATTTGTATGTGCTTTTAATACGAAGACTCATTCACATATCTACCTTCGATTCTGAGAAATTCCCTGGTATTCTCTCTTCAAATAATGTTTCTCTGCCATTCCCTCCACGCTCTGCTTCACAAACGGAAGCTTTCAATCTTTCCTTCATGTCTCTTAACTTACTCATCTTTCATTCTTTGTATCTCTTTATCTGTTACATCCTACGTGGAATTCATTAGAACTATCTTTCAATGCATTCCCTCTTTAACTATGCCAGTCTAGAGTTAATCCATCTTTTTAACTTTAATAACTACATTTTACATTTCCAGTACTTTTAATTGGTTCTTTTCTAAATCCACCTCTGGATTCTCATCTGCTCGGTTTTGTTTCACAATTTCCTAAAAGTTTACCATGAATGTTATTCCTTTACCTCTTTGATGATTTTAAACCTATTTATTTGTAATTATTTTCAGATTGCTTTATTATATTTTGTTGGGAATTAATTCTTCTAATTATTGTCTTTCTTAGTACTAGTTGTATTCATTTGCTTTGGTATTTAATTTGCTAGCTCTTTTTAAACAGATATGTTTTATCTCTTTTTCTTTCTTCCTCCCTTCCTCACCATTCCCTATCCAGTGCTTTTACAGACATTGCCACCATGTCCCATCCTTGTCCAAGCAAAGGCCTCTAGTCTGGAAGCAGGTCTTACTCTGGCTGTTCAGGCTTCCTATCCTTTGGTACCATGAGGGCTACCATAAACGCAGTCACTTCATGGCCGGGTCCTGGTCGTACTGCTATCTCTATTCCCTTGCCACCCCAGAAACACAACTTTAAGCAAGTCAGAGACTGAGGTAGCGTTGTTGCTTCTTTTCGTAGGTAAGGTAGTCCCACCCTAGCTCCTAGCTTCCGGCATGAGACTTCTTCCGGTCCCCATCCAGGCATGAAGTTCCTCTGGCTCACATATTCTCAAATAGTGTTTCCCACTCTTTTTTGACATCATGGTATACTTGTGAAAAATAACAGTATGTGTATGGGACACAGGTAGATGCATGAGACTGTTCCCTACCTAGAAATAATGGCTGGGGGGCTCTGACCACCCCAGGCCCTGCCTAGCTGCCCTGAAGCCTGAGAAAAATCAGTATTTCACATACTGATAAGCTCATCTGCAGCATGTTTACAGGAATACCCTAAAAGAATTGATTCCTAGCACATTCTGCCTATTTCTGTACTTGGTTCTGTTTCTAGTCCACCTTCACGTTTATCTTGTTACTAAAGGACAACTATGTCAATAATGTATTTATCATTGCTATGTATTTGGAACAGCATATAGAATTTAAAGCATGGATTTAAAGGGCCATCATAACCAGAAGTCCATGTGTATCCTTCTGTTTAGAAAACCCTCCACTCCACCCCTTTGCATCACATTTTATTCTTCCTCCTTCAGGTTTTAGTTTAGATGTCACAAATACCACCAGTTCTAGCACTAACTGTGTAATTCAAAAAAGGTACTTAGCCTCACAAAGCTTTAGTTTCCTCATCTCTAAAATATGCATCTCAGTCCACTCCTGTCTCTGTTACTGGCTGTATAATCCTGGTAAGTTGCTCTGCCGCTCTTGGTTTCAGTTCCTGCATCGAGTAATGTTTTGAGGATTAACTCAGACAATATACATAAACTCACTAACACGGTGACTCTCTTTCCTGTTTTCCCGCTTCCACTTCATGCTGAAAAGGGACAACCATTGCTCAGCCTTCAGCAGAGCTGCTGACTCAACCCTTTTCTGAGCCTAGGTGGTATCTTGGTTAAAAAGGCTTTCTATTGCCTTTACCACAGGAGTGGTAAAGATTATTTTTATATCCACAATTTATTCAGGCAAAGTGAAGGGCGATGTCAGTAAGAACTTGAAAGAATAATTTTAGGTGCAAATTTAATGTACCTAAAGAAAAAACAACTGACGATGGACCGTTCTAACTGAAAATGTGAAAAGAGAAAGTCTGCATGAGAATGCATTTCTGAAATGAAGGCACCCACTACGTTCTGCTGATTCTCAAACACTATTGCTGGGAAGAGCACATAAACCTAGAAGGAGATGCCTGACAGATGAGAAATTTATGTATGGGCGATCTAATGCAGAAAGTACTTTCAAGTTCAAGTTATGACGTATAAACACAGAGATGTTTTCAAGCATTACGTTTTAAAAACAATCGTTTAATGAGGAAGAGAGCCTACTGATTGAGAGAAAAACTGAGCCACTAACTGATAACAAAGAAAACTAATCCAGACCCAAGGAAATAATGCAAAAATAATGCAACAGACCAAGAATCAAATCCCGACTCTGCCACTTCCCACTGGTATAACCTTCAGCAAGTAACGACTCTCTGACTGGGAGTTTCTTCCTATGCAGAATGAGGATCGTAATGCTCGCCTCACAGGGAGCTGGGAGAAGTCAATGAGATATGAAGTACGAAATGCCCAGCATGGTGCCCAACTCATGGTAGGTGCTCAATTAACATTAGTTCTCTCCCACTAACTCCCATGCCATTTTTATAAGTGAGCAACATAAAAGGGTTTGGGAAACTGCTAAAATGCATTTTCTCATGTCTGCATTCACAAATTTATCAGTCCATTTACAGGCAGATTCTCAGAGATAAGCCTGAGGTCCACAGGCCCGAGATCTGGGGAGCAACCTGACCTGGGTCAGTGGTCAATGTGGACATCTGGGTCTCAGGCCGATGCCTAGAAAGACTGGCTGGGCCCAGAAGGCAGCACGGGGTGGGGGGGTTGGGGTGGGGAGTGGTGGTGGCCAGGAGACAGCCAGAAACTAGAGCAGCCAAAAAGAGGAAGGATTACTTGAGCTTCGGCTCCCGTCCTTCGCTTGTGTACTGCCAGCAGATGAGCCCGATCAGGTCCTGCACCCTGGCGCTGGCCATTGTCACCACGGTCATTGGCAGCAGTCTGTCCTGGCTCGACTGCAGGGGGAGGTAGACGTCGATCTTCTTGGTTGCTGTTGTGCCTACATGACCCTGTGGACAGAGCACAGTGCATGAGGGTGTGCATGCGCACAGTCACGGCCATCTCTCATCCTTTTTGCTCAGACCTGCTTATGAGCCTGCGATGGTCCCAAAGTTAAACACCGTCTAGTTTTAAGGGGTTTTTTTCTATAACTGTCATTTTGCAATGGTCTAATGGTCTAATGGACTCAATTCTGCCAGCAGTAAGGTAAATGAGTACTACAATTAAAATAAACAAATTAGAGGGTAAGCAGACCTGATGTTTAGTGTCAGGAGATGTGCTTTGCTACTTATTCAGTGTGACCTTGGAAAAGTCACCATTAGACCTTGGCATCAGTTACTTTCCCTGAAATTGCCATTTCATTCCTTGAGACCTTAGGAAAAGCTGCATGGGAAGCTGCCATACTCTCCGAGGAGGCATTTAGGCCTGTGGCACTGGCACCAAGGGCTGCTTCTCAGAGACTCTGGGGCATTAACTCACTGCAGGACATCTGCTTACTCTGCTCATCCGCATTGCAGCTGCCCTTCCGTTACTGCCCTAACTGCCATACCATGCTGCTGTTTACCCCCAGCCCGTCCCACACGGCTCCCCTTCCTCCCTCCTGAACCTTCCTCTCCCTTCAGGAACCTTTGCACTAGTCAGCAAACTTCCATAAATCATCATTTCTTTTTAAAAAAGCACTCCTTCCACCTTTTGGCCTTAATTGAACCTGCAGGTCACTAAGGACGTTGCGTCCTCTGCTATCCAGAAGAGTTTTGCTTTTTTCTTTTTAACTTCAAATCGTCAAGGCCAGGAGGCAGAGTAGATATTCTTGTCCCCATGACTTCCAAACTATTACTTCTCCTTTCCTGCAAAAATCCCTGTTCCTGAGACCCAAGCCATCCAACTACACCATCTTGTCTTCCTCAACTGTCTCTTTTACCCATCGACCTTTTGAGCATTTTTCTCGCTCACTGAAGGCTTGAATGAGCTCTTGGCTCATGGTCTTCTTTCTCACCCCAGCTCCTGTCATCACTCTTGGCAATTTCATCTAAAGGAATAAGCCATCCAACACCCAAGTGTCTCAGTACGTAGGCCATGTCACCCCAATGCCTTTCCATCCACTCCACCTCAATCACTTACTACAGTGGATACACCAGAGATCAGCACCAACTCCAAAATCTCAAATTGGAATATCCATTCACTTTATTTGTTTAAGTAGTCCCTCAAATTCTTCAATCTACAATCTGCTGACCGCGTCACCTTTTAATTATCTATCAGTCTCCGTTATTTCCCAACACCACCCTCCGGATTACACAGTCCATCATTATAATCATTCCTTTGCAAATACAGTTTTAGTGCTCTGTTCTTCCATTGGACTCAAAGGGCAGAACACCAATCTTGGATGAATCCAGCCCTCCGCATTCCCCAGCTAAACATCATCGGAGAAAAATCATGTTAACTATACAGACTGGTTTTACTTTAAATTCATGATGATAAACTTCAAACGGACACCTAACATGGTATAGCGGCCTACTGCATTTCCTGATCCAACCTGCGCCCCACCCAAGACCTCCACTGCACACTTTTGCTTCTCTCCTCAAACTTCCTGTGAGCCCCCAAAGGCCTTCAGCTCTGTCCTTCACTCATGTAACTGCCGACAGATGAGAAATACTCCTCGTTTTCAACAGGAAAATAAGAATTTCCAGAAAAGAACTCTGTTATTCTCCCATCATTAAATTCAAAAACTTACCTAGGTTTAACCAGCTTCTCCTCATCTTTCCCTTCCTGCCTTACTCTGGGAGCGTCACTCGTCTCGTTAAAGGCCAATCTCTCCACTTATGATCTGACCCCTGCCTGCCTCACCAACATCATCTACTGCCACTCTGCCACCTGCTCGTCATGTTTCAGCTACGCTGACCTTTAGAAGTACCCTGAATATGTGTGTGTACCTCGCCTGCTTCTCTCATTTTCAAGACCATAGCAGGTACTACTCACTACATCTAGAAGGATCTTTCTCATGATCTTTTGATGTGTGGCCTTGGGCAGGTTGCTTAATCTCTTTGTTCTTCCATTTTCTCATGTGTAAAATGATGATAATGACAGGATCTACCCATAAGAGGATTCTTGTGAGGACTGTTACTATTCAAGGTTCAGATATGACACTTCCTCAAAGAAACCTTCATTGATAATCCTATAGAAAGAAGCCCTATCCACAGTTATTCTCACATATATCCTGTTCATTTCCTTCACAGCATTAAACAATTTGACATGTCCTATTTACCTACGCCTTTAGTGTATGCCTTCCCCACTAGCACCTGAGCTCCATGAGGGTAGCCACGATAACGTCAGCTTGGTTTACTGCTCAATACAATGGCTAGCACTTCTGTGCTGGCGCAGAGAAGACTCTCCTAAAAAACAATCTGCTGAACTACAGACTGCATGCATGAATGACTCAGATGCCCACTAGGACACCAGGTAGGACCTCAATAAATGTAGTTTCCTCCATCCATCCCTCCTGCCCTTCCTCTGTAGGTCTGTTTCCTGGTGGAGGACGGAGATGGAGGGACTTGAGCCATCAAGTGGTTCCATCTTTAACACTCTATAATTTTATAATTCTAAGGTAAAAAAAAAAAAAAGATCAGAACTAAAGTAAGGAAATACATAAAATCCATTTAAAATATGTTTAGAGAAATTCCATATCTCATCTAATATTAGATACACTGGTGGGTTTTTTTTTTTTTTTTGAGTCTTGTCTCTATGTTTTAAAGCAAATAATAAAGTAATCCTCCTACATAATGCTCTGTGTCTCTCTCATGCACACACACACACACACATGCATACGCACATACCCGTGCATGTTTTTCGGCTCGAATAATAATTCCAATGACTAGCAAAGACAGCTCTAAACAGCAAGCATTTGACCTTGTCGGGCAGCCAAAGGGTTAAGATGAAAACCAAGGCAATCTTTCTGGAGGGGGTTAATCTCCCTCTTATTACTCTCCTCTCAACCTCCTTTTCAATCCAGACCAGTTGACTGTCATTGCTCTCCCTTCTTATTTCTATTTATTCCTCTTTTTCCTTCTGAAAAACCAGAGCTGAGGGACTGTAAGAATCATCTCCCAAGATAACAAAGATTCAATGAGATGACAAGTATGAATGTGCTTCACAAACTGTAAAGTGCTTTAGAAATGCAGAGCAGTATGCTAGCAAGGGCCCAAGTTTTTAAATCACATCTATTTCTATTACTCAAGCCTATTCACATGGTCACATGAGACCAAAGATGGATGCTATAGAAGCCCTAATAATAAGTTATTATAATAAGAGCTAACGTTTATTTAGAGCTGTTAAATAAACTAAATGTCTGCCTAAATTATCTCATTTAATTCTCGCAATCACTATAAGAGGTGGGGTTCTATTATTACCCTCACATTATAGATGAGAAAACTACGACTTATAAGGCTACAGTCATCTGCTCAAGATCCCATAACCAAGGGGGAAGAGGCAGAATTCAAACCCGTGTCTGACTCTAATGCGCCTTTCA